TATCCATATCGGAAGCGCTAATAATGACTTTGCTACTTGTTGGTAGTTTACCAAGATGGTAAATTATTCGAGAATCTGCCTCTTAGTGGCTGCAGCTCAATTCAGTTTTTACCACATCATCTTCCCTTGTCACAAATTTATAGCACTTATCTTCATATGTGGCAAACACAACTTTCCTTCCAAGTAAAGCACAATAGGTCTTTTTTGCCTATGAACGGTGTAAGTAAATCTATAAGAGAGGCTTTGAGCTATCATTGCGAAGTGGCTTTATGAAATGTTCAGGCTGCTTCTGAGTGGAACCAGAAATTGAGTAGGATTGTAATCTTTCCTTATTTTGATCCCAACGATCATGTTCTGCGTCCTTCATGGAAGGGGTTACAGTCTGTCAAAAGTAAGATATACTTCTCTCGCTGACACAGCACAAATCCTGCCGAGGATGTGTTCAGAAAATCGCTCAAAGGTTTACCGGAGATCTTTTAAAAGATGCAAAAAAATAATCCATCGATTAAAACAACATCGACAACTGGCGATGGACTAGGAGCACTTGGAGAATCATACTTCCGAAAAAGTTTCATCAAAACAAACTTGTCTATTTTAATCATCGACCCATCAATGTTGCATAGAGACAACGACACTGGAGTCAGAAGATAGTTTAGAATGAGCTGAAGGTCTATCTTATTTTCCCTTCAGGTTTTCTGTTTCTCAGTGTGAAAAGAATTCAAGAAATACCGACAATCTTATCGCGAAATAAATAATCTATTATTTTCCCTAATTTAATTCGTTTGGTAACTCCAAGCGGTGCGTAAATCTATAGCTATCTCTGTTCGTTGTGCTCTCGCGCGCTTATCTCTCACACGCTCGCACTCGCTGGGATTTACTATAATTAAATTTTTTAACTGCTAAGACGTCTGCCACTATTAAAGCTACACTTAATATCGTCTGTCAGGATATATTTTAAAGTAGTGACAAAAAGAGGAATTTTTATGTATAATTTTTATACGGTCCTCATGGTTTAGTTCAGGGGCGTTTTTCCCTACATTGGAGGGCGTTTTTCGCTACCAACGCTGCACTTGAAATCGTCTGCCATAGCATATTTGAAAACTATGGAAAAAATGGGATTTCTTGATACAAACCTTTTCCGTGACCCAAGTTAATGCTGCCACTTACGACTGGCAGACGAGTGATTTTATTATTAGTTTTCAACGTACTTTCAGCCTGTATTGTCGAATTTTTTGTCGCTTATGGTTTAGTTACTATATACGCTGCCACCCGGTCTATTAAAAGTGAAAAGTGGGTGATTTTTATCCCGTACAATATAAAAACCACGTTCAGAAATACTAGAAATAATGTCTTTAACTACAGTGGAAAACACAGAAAAATAATTTTTACGTAAATAATAATATCAACACAATTGTTATGTTTTTCAACAACGATGTGATAATGTTTTTAATTTCTTAAAACCATTATTTTTCATTGATGATAAAGATATTGTCGCTAGTACCTATTTCTGAACGTGGTTTTTATTGTGTATTAAAAAATATGCTCCATTTAAAAAAAAACGTCGTTCAAGCCTTCGACAAAGGCTTGGTACATAAACTAAACAAAATGACCCTGAAAGTTTTTTTTAACCCTTTTTAACGTGTTATAAAAACTTTCCAAGGAATCAAAAAGCTTTCATTTCCATTTTTCTTGTCTAGTTCTGAAAAGAACGTACCAGGTTCTTGAAATTTTTAAAAGAACCTATGGAGCTGTAAAAGGAATACTAAACAATCCCTTCCAATCGACTTCCTAAGTGTAAAAGTATTTTCTGAACAATTGTTAGATTTCTTCTTCATAGTTTTCCATATCAATTCGAGGGTCTCTGGAATTTCTTCATGATTCTTATGCTTTGTAGACTTTAAAGGCTCACTTAGCTCTAGAAAAGGCATATAAGGATCTATGAAGCCATAGAGTTTACTCTATGATGAAGCTCTACGAATGGTGTACAAAATTCGTTAAAAGGTACACACACGTCCACTGCCTATTTATACACGCTTCATTTTTGAAAGAAATATTTGTTGTTGCACTTGGTCCTTTGATTAAGATATCAAATGTTCTTCAAGGTTGGGCTTTCAAAAAAGACCAAGACACTTAAAAACTGATCAAGTCCTCCTTTGCAGAGAGTACTGCTGGGGGGTATCCCACACCAACCAAACCCCCCGGTGCTATATCCTTCCCCAACAAAGTATAATGGTTATTGCTCATACGAAATATTCAAGAACGAAAGTAGAGCAAATGATAAAGATGGTGAAAAATTGGGAAATCTAAACGCCCAAATGTAGAATTAACTAGAGTACCGCTATGGGAAAGGGGAAATAAGAGAGACCATCAAGAGATCAACAATGTAACAAAGAAGGGGAATTGTAACACCGTTATAAGATGATTCATACTCGTATTTCGATATTATAAACTGTCTTTTTCTCTTATGTTAGGAATCCCGTCATCGTATAAAATTATCATGATTCGGAGCGCTCTGAGTGCTTTCAATATCCTTTTTAAAATGGAAGTAGGACATTTAATGTAATTCATTTATGTGCTTGATTGCATATTTATATGGAAATGTAACCATTGCCAACTGACATTATCCCTTATTCAATGTCGCTGCCTTTAATTTCTCAACGCAACGTTATAAATTTCTTCATTAGGATTACGGATTTCTGTAATAAAATAATTTGCAAATGGCAAAATTGTAGTGGACCCAAGTTAATCTTCTTACTGTGGAAAGGGGGTCAAGCTCAAGTCGGGGATAGCTAAATTATTCTAATTCATGAGTAATAACTTAAATGGGTTTTAAATCACATTATTCACGGCTAACCTCATTTGTATTATAATTCGGTCCAAATTCCGAATAATACCAAGTTAAGTTTACTACAGCTGTTGTTATTTTACGTATAAGATCTTCAAAACGTCCAAATGACGTCAAATATCGAATATGTCTTCTTTTGTTGGCGCTAATGAGAGATTGCTTCGCATCTCGTTCGACTTCCTAATTTGTAATTTTCCGCGGTCTCGAGTAATCAGTACGCCACTTAATTAAGAAATTAATCACAAAGCAATGTAATTTAAGATGAATGAACAGTGAAAATGTAAATTCCGCTTGAGCGTTTCAATTTGGATAACATGTTTCAGAATTATGTTTCGTGCAAACGTGCTTTCGTAATTTACAATTGCATTTTATGGAACGCATTAGCTTTCTTCCATTTGACCTCATTTGTCCAGTACGCTAACGTTCGTAATAAAAAATTCTAGAAATACAATAAAATATGCAAGAAACAAAAGCCGAATATTGTGGCATATGTAGCTCGTAAATATCATCCCTGATCTGTGTATGCATTACAGTGAAAGCGGCACTTTTCATATAGGTGAACAGGGGATTAGTAGGTGCTGAAAGTTTCCAGATTAATCTTAAAAGTAGCGGAAACTAATCTAAATCAAACGTAATTTTTGGTTTTTGTGATTCGGGAACTTTGATAATAATTCTGATGTATGGGAGGAAATGTATATCATACTCATTTAGTTATTTATTATCAGCATTCATTACTCTACATTTATAGCCACAATCGCTGCGAAAATGGAAAAACTTATATTACTTTTACGTTGTTTAGAGACACGTGTACAATTTTATTGCAAATAGGAAATCAGCAATATAAGAAAGAGAGGAAAATGAATTTTTGCCCCCAGAATACCATTCAAGAACCTCTGCTTCTATTTCCACATAAAAAGAAACTTTTGCATTGCATTGTGGTCCATATTGATAATTATTGATATTAGAAAAAAATGGAAACTTGTTTGGACTTTGAATAACTTTACTACTCTGGTTCCGATTGTGATGGAGTTTGGAACCTTTATTTATAGAGCATAATTAATTTGAAATTTAAAACGCTAACTGAAATAATTACCTACATTTCTTTTACTAGTTGTCATAACTCCAACACCCATTACATTCAAAAAAAAATTTACACATTTCCACATTTTACGTAGGTAGTCGCCGAGCCCCAGTGACGAAACGGACTCACCAAAGCGTTCACTCTATTTTTTGTAGATGCGAAGGTATAGCAGAAACACCGTCCCTCATCCACCGACACGACGGTTTTTAAAACCGGCAACATTGTAGCGTTTTCATGACTCTTATCTGCTTGAACACTCGTTTCTTACCCAAACACGCTCCATTTTCTCGCATATTAGTTCTGTGCTCTTTCATTATGAATTCATGACACGTATAAAATTTAGTTTCATCCACTTATAACGGCCCCTTTCAATATCACGTAATTTATTATTAGATGTTTCCGATGTTTATCAACACCTTCTCCTAATTCCATTACCCTGTGTTCTTTTTTTGTTTTTCTTTTAGCCACTCCTTTTCTTTTGTTTAATTCTGTTTTTCGCAAAATTTAGGATGTTAGACATCTCAAATCCTTTCCTTTTGGAGCATACGCCCGTCTTCTTCTCGATCGAAACTTAACTTATTCATTTTTAGCTTTACTTGCTACCCTGCCACGTTTTGGAACATAATCCCCATAATATCCCCTTTTATCATTTCTGCTATTCACCATTGTTGTCATTCTGTAGCCATCTTCGGTAAAAAATTTCCCCCTATTAAGTTTGTGAATATTATTCTTGGAACATTACAGTTAGATGCCACTGAATTGTTGAACCGCTAAAACGTTCATTTGATTTAAATGCACCCATCCACGAGTCTGTTATGCAAATTATGCTTGCAAAATAGGAGACACGACTATGACAAAATGCAAACGGAAGAGCTTCAATTATTGACTTTCTAGCTGTATAGGAAATCTGGTAGTTAAACGTCACTTCTACACAAACTTCAACCCGAAGCAAACGTAATTGCCATTACCTACTAATAATTGCACTTTGACAGAGATGGATGTAACTTTAACGAGCGCCTCGGGTATTCCATTTTTCTTGTTCGCAAAACATTTGGATAATGCATAAACGTCTAGTTTAATGATTTAGTTTGCCTTATCCATCACATATACGTAGATTTAAGTGTCAAACAAGCCTAATTATATTTTACTTATATTCTAACATCAAGAATTATACAAAGAACGCACTTGTAGGATTTTGTTCCTTTCTACTTCAAAGTGTTATGTTTATTGCAATACCAGTTCCAGGTATCTCTACAGATATCTTCAATTCCTTTAAAAGCAGTCCATTTCAGTTCTTGCTGCGCAAGTGATGTGTCAGCAATGACTTCAATTGAGCTGACACCGGGAGCAGGCTTTAAGCGATACTTGATGGGTTTTCCACTCAATTTTGCGAAGGTGTCAATAACTTCCACGCAGGAGTAAGCCCTTCCAGTGCCTAAGTTGTAAGCCGCCCAACCTCTCAGGTCGTCAAGTTTCATCAACGCATTTTTGTGACCCGTCGCTAAGTCCATTACGTGAGTGTAATCACGAATAAAACCACTCTGTTCCTGATCCTTGGAGCACGGGATGCAAAGTTCGCCCCTAGCACCCATTGCAACCTACAAGTGTCTTACTAGTCTAGTGGGTAACTCAACAAGCTTACTTCGGCAATATGGGCGAACAAACTATTCGGGGATTTTATTGTATCTTCACCCAACAGTCCCCATTCGTGCGCCCCTGATGGAGTGAAATATCGCAACGCAATCACCTTCCATTCCTAGAAGCCATCGTAACTCTAACGACTTAAAATGGGTGTGTTACCTCATCGGAATGACATACATCTTTTAGAATCTCTTCAACGAGATATTTACTCCTTTCGTAAGGACTTCTACACTGGAGACCAGTGGGGTGACTTTCGTTGATTGGAAGATAGTCTGGTGTGCCGTAGACATTACTCGTTGAAGAAAATATTAAATGTTTAACCTTAAATTCAGTCATAACCTTAAATGCTTACAATAAGCTTGAAGTATGAGAAAGTTCATAGTAAACCTGGAACAGTGTACAGGATCCTGTGATATTTGTGTGGTAATAGTCCACAGGCAGTGCTTTCGATTCCCCTATGTACCTCAAGGCAGCCAAATGTATTACTACTTCAATATCGTGCTAAAATCTGAATCATTTAGTAGTAGATTCGTGAACACTAACCTCTTGGAAAACGTTGATCAGCTGCAATCGTTCTGTGATATCGACGTTATAGAAGATGACAGTTTCATCAGTCATGGATTCTACAATTTTAATGGAAGATGGCTTTTGATTTTCAGGCAATATTTGACAGTTGGCAAAGTTATCTAGTACGACTACAGGATAACCACTTTTAATTAATTCTAGTACCACATGGGACCCAACAAATCCAGCTCCCCCGGTTACCAAGATTTTACCCTTTGTATACATCTCTTTAAATGAGTTTTACAACAGTGACACTTTCTCTAGCACGTATCAAGTATATGCCTATTTAGGGTACAATCAATACGGAACGTTCCGATACTGTAATGACTATTACGTGTAAAACAGTAAACTGTGGTGTTCATATCGCTCGGCTGGTAATCTTTTATTAAGTGTAGATTTTAGTTATTTTTAGCGGTTTAAAAAAATTCGTGATTTGTGAGACCTTCAAAATCTATCAAGGTATACTTTCTTTGACATAGTCCTGAGACTTGCATTTTATTAATGTTTTGAGCTTTTGAGAAGCAGCTCTGCTTGGTTGGAAACTAATTTGTGACGTAATGTTAATAGTTTCGAAAAATCAAGGATATGCCTTTGAAATGTTCAAAAAACGTTTTCTGCATACCAGTAAAGTGCTATTTGGACGCGAGATACGCACAGATGTTATTAAGAAATGTAAACGCTGTCGACTCACTGGATAAAATTAATCCACTTCATCCTGCACTAGAAATAGTCTACAAAGTCCATAGACCAGCTAAGCGAATTACCAAATTAACCAACTTCAATTTCAAAAAAGCAGATTTTCTTAAAATGTACGTCCTTTTTCGCGATATCAATTGGAAGGAGTCTCTTATCCTGAAGAATTTCAAATCGGTAGATAATGCAGTAACTAGCTTTAATCAAACGGTAATGAACATTTTCGATTAATGTGTCCCCAAAGTCACAATTAGGAGTGCCAATAAGTATCCTAGCTGGTTTAATATAGACATTATTAAGAAAATCAAACAGAAAAATAAGTTTCGGTTACAGGGCCCATCGGAAGACTTCATTGAAGCCAGAAAAGAACTCAAAAGAATGATCCACATTGCTCAGAAGAGGTACATTAATCAAATTGAAATGGATCTGCGGAAGAATTCCAATAAATTCTGGAACTACATCAAGTCGTTGAGGAAGAATAGTCAACTACCTGGAGTTTTTGAGTACAAAGACTCCTCGTTAACGGACGCCAGAAGCATTGCGGACGCCTTTGCATCCTTCTTCGAGTCAGTCTACACTATGGAGAGGAACGATGACCCGGAAGATGACGTGGAATCGGACCTGGTGCTATCCAAATTGCACTTGACTCAGTTACATGATTCCGAGATACTGGAAGCAATAAAAAAATTGAAACCGAGGTCGGCTATAGGCGAAGATGGAATCCCACCCTACATCGTGAAAGGATGTGCATCTTTATTGGAAACCCCCTTACAACATCTATTTAATTTAGCTTTGCAAACATGTACATTCCCTGAAGCTTGGAAATGCACCAGAATAACACCAATTCACAAAAGTGGAAGCCGAAAATTAGTTGAGAATTATCGCCCAATTGCAATTATACCAGCAATAGCGAAAATTTTCGAAAGAGTGATCTATACTAGACTTTATTCCCATCTCAGCATTATAATTGCAGATCAACAGCACGGTTTCACGCGGAACAGATCAACGATTACAAATTTAATGCAGTTTACGCATTTCTCAGCAGGAGCCTTGGATGAGAGAGCCCAGGTGGACTGTGTTTATACAGACTTTGCGAAGGCATTTGATACAGTATCCCATCAAGTCTTGCTCCGTAAACTTGTTTTAAATTGCGTAAGTAATCCGACCGTCAAATTCTTAAAATCATATTTATCTTTCCGTAAAACAAGAGTGAAATTCAATGGTGTGAATTCAGCCGAATTTTATCCCTCATCAGGCGTTCCCCAGGGAACACTTCTTGGTCCTTTTCTGTTTCTCTTATACATAAATGATTTACCCCGAGTGATAAAAAACTCGAAAGCACTACTATTTGCGGACGACCTAAAACTTTTTAATAAAGTCCAATCCGCAAGTGACTGTTTAAATATTCAAGAGGACATTAACTCAGTAATTAAGTGGTGTATCAAAAATAAACTAAAACTAAATATCAATAAGTGTAAAGTCCTTACTTTTACTAGATCGAAAAATCCCTTACTTTTTGACTATAAGATGAATGGAAAGGTCTTTCTAAGAGTCACCTCCGTTAAGGACCTGGGCGTGTTTTTCAATACCAACCTTAACTTCAACTCACACATTGAATACCTAACAAATGAGTGTTACAAACTTCTTGGTTTCGTTATCCGAAATACACTCAATTTCACGAATATACAGACAATGCTAACCTTATATAATGCGTTTATTAGATCCAAGCTTGAGTATGCTGCATGTATCTGGTCTCCTCAAACTCTCAAATACTCAGATATGATCGAAAAAGTGCAGAAAAAGTTCATCCGAGTAATGTTTTTTAGGTCAACCCAAAATTATCCACATTTGATCTCTTACGGTACCCAGCTTAATTACTTAAATAGTACTTTCGGCTTAGATATAACGAGGTTAGAAACCCGACGGTACATTGCCTCCACAATGTTTGTCTTCAAAATTTTACACAACTTGTTATACTCTTCCGAATTACTTCAAGAAATTAAGCTTAAGGTACCATTTGTTAAGCTAAGGCAAAATAATACTATTTTTGTAGTTAACAACATAACTTCCCCACTTATTAAGATCTTGATCGCTTTAAATAAGTTATCCTCAGTTAATGATATCGACTTTTTTCACGATCCCCTAAATTCAATAATAAATAAAATTAGATCCTAGTCCTAATATTTGTTCAGAGCCCCAGTGCCATGTAATTGGAATTTTTATTCTGTATGGTTTCTGGTTAAATAAATAAATAAATTATATTCATTTTGAACACTTTTTCTAAGTAACATTTTTCAAATTTCCTAAAAAAATCTATCAGAGAAATCAAAGTGTGCATAGGACTTTGAAATTTTGCACGGTTATTATTCTGAACAACTATTCTCAATTAACATCTGTGCATATTTCGTCCCCAAAAATTGATTTTTCGAAACTAAATTTGTCACAAATTAATTTCCAACCAGGCATGACTGATCCCCAGAAGTTTGTCATTCTGGTCTCTGCGTTGTACTACAACGTATAAGAAAGAATCCACAACGGAAAAGCTTAAACTGGAGGACTAGTAGTCGTACAGACGAACAGACGGACAAAGTGCGGACAATAGCGTTCACTTTCCTTTTGGAAAATGCGCTAAAAAGGGAGAGAATACTCTAACTACAAAGTCATAAGGCTTCAGTTACCCAGTATTGCTTCTGAATAAGAAAATTTTTATGTATTCTCCATGCCTTCATATAAGAAGAAACAATTGACGGTACGTCTTCATTTTGTAAAACAAATCACAAAGTAAATAATAAGTTTTTATACTGGTAGCGCTATCTAACGGTAAAATTATAGCACCTCCGAAACCCATATCGAATTTATGTTCATCAATTATCGATCTCACAAGTAATCTAACTCAAAATAGACTAGTGCCTGCACATCTACACTATAGCAGAAAGCTTTTAGTGAAAATTTGAATTCTCTAGCTATTGTAGTTGTGGAGATCTTTTAAAGTCAATTTATGTTCGCATGGACAAGGATATTTGAAAGTTTAAATTACCTAGGACGTTAAAAAATAACAGCAGTTGCATTTAATCAGATTTACTAAATTCTACATTAAGGTTCCAGATTTTCCAATGCGTCTCATCCTCATCCCCTTGAAATGAAAATCAAACAAATTGAGTGTTATGCTTGAAATATTCAAGAATTATTCTAAGGGAGAGGAACGATAAAGAAAAGGTCGAATCTTGTCAGATGCAAGCGACGTTGATAAATGCATTACTCTTAACGCCTTTTAACATCATTTGGAATTTAGTGCAAGCTTTTTACGTTCGGCGGTCGCAAAAAATGTATATACCGTAACGAAAAATCTGACTTGGAAAGGCATGTTTATTCAATGAACCTGCGCGAAATAAATAAATATAAAAACGTACTAAAATTTAAAATGCGAAATTTATACTATCAAACTGTTTTTAAATTACCAGATATGAGCTAACTTTCGGAAAGCCAAAAATAAGCTCTAGCGTCCCAAATTTATTTTACATAAATCGTCGGGTTTTAGATAACCGCTGGGGAGATCGTATGAAAACCTCCATGTGTTTTTTTTCAGTATCACCGTGCATAAAATTTGTATTATCATAATAAATTGAACCTGCTCCTCTTTTTAGCCTTTAAGGCAGCGCGTATTAAATTGTGTAATTTTTAATTAATCTTGCAAATTTCGACAATTAACAATTCTTCTTTGGGTAGTGAATTAAAATTGTTACAAACATTTTCGTTCTTATACATTCACAAGTTAGTTATTTCAAAAAGCGTTATTTCTATATATAACAAAAAATGGAACCTCTTACACGGTTTTTACACATTTTTTTATTGGATCGCCTTTGATGTGTCTTTTGATTAGAAAAATGGAATCAAGCATAAAGCACTTTTATTTATCGAGAACAGCTTCTCGCTCTTTACATAACAATATATTTCAACGCGATACTCGTTTTAGGAATTAATACCCCAGCAGCATCGCAAAGACAAAAACGTGAGAGAATGTTAACAGCCCATGGAAATATTTTCCTCTTAAATGTTTTAATTGAAAATATAATTAAAAACATTCAACGATAAAAATCCCTTTCGAGTATATTACATTTCCCTCGACCTATAATATTAAAAATGAAATAATTAAGAAAGGCAGAGAAACTGGGCTTTTCGCAAAATTTACGCGATCGAAGTTTTTCGTTACAGCGACTACATTTATTGTTCTAAATGACAGCTACATTTCTTAGCACAAAGAGTTGAAAGTTTTAAGGAAACTCGAAACGTGAATGCGCTGCATTACCCAACTTTGTGGAGATATTCATGACGCTGTGATTTTAGGATAGTTGACTACCTTCCTGTAACAAATCAACAACTGTTTGTTTATGATTTTATTATTCTTCATTTACACTATAAAAGCCAAATAAAAATCACCAACTATACCAACCAACCACGTATATTCTAAATTTAATATTATGAAGGAGCAAACCTACAGACTGTTGGTTCGCTAGTCATTGCTTATGTATGTATCTATTATC